CCTCGTGCCCCCTTCCCTCCGAAGCTGCCCTCCACCCGCACCCCGGCTCTGGAATTTCCCACCGGTTACGGGAGTCCGGAGGGTCCTGCCCACCCACGTCGCTTCCCGGGGCGCGAGCAGGACCCTGCCCCGTCTCCTTCAACACCCTCTTCCCGAGCTCCTTCGGACACAGGACTCGGCCTGGACACATCCCAGTCAGGTGGCCTCTGAAGCCCGGTGGAGCTTCCACCCGCTAAGAAGTGAGGGTCCTGCCCAGCAGGTGTTGGTGAGCCCAGTCTCATCAGAAATGGCAGCCTCAGCTCGCTTGGTTTTCCTGCTTACCCTTTGACGTGGATGACTGTCTTGAGGGAGAAAAAGAAACCAGGAAGGGGCTTTTAAAACTTCTCAGTTTATGTGTGTTTAGAAGACCTGTGCTGCTTGCCTGTTCTTTTAAACAGTTTTAGTTACAGCCCACCAATTCTGAGAAGTAATTCTGCTCATTTTTTGCAGGTCTAATATTCCTGTCATGCTCTGCTGATTATAGCACCAAAGTTCGGCTGTAAAGTGGCCCAGGGAATTGAAGCCCTTAGCTTTGTTTTGGCGTCCCTTTCTGGGACCATGTCCTTGTCAAAGTTCAGAAGTAATCCGTGCTTTAGCGAAAGGGCTCTTCTTCTTAGACGTGGGTAGTTGAGGCGCTTCAGACAGTTTCTGGGAACGACTGCTAGTATTTCTGCCGGTCACTGTGTTACAGCCCTAGGGTCTAAACAGTGTTCTTAAATATCCCTTTTGATCTCACGTACTGAGAATGTTCCAACTTATGGATCCTGAGTTTTGAAGTCTCCGGAGCTTACCGAACTAACACAGAGTGTCCTCACTGGGTTTGACGTTTGCTGAAGTCACATCCACTTGCAGAAGGAGGTATATTTTTGCATCTTGGTTTCAAGTGTGAAGAGTTTTGGATTATTTTTCAAGATAAACCATATTTGTGCTTTGAAGGTTAGAAGGTATTTGCTTCCGTGTTATTAACTTTAACATTTCAGGGAACTAGGGCTCTTGAATATCCACAATGAGTCACCTAGAGGAGTTCCTTTTAAATCCAAGCTGAGTCCTTTCCTTTTTGCACGTTTTCTTCCTCCGGTGGTTCTGCGAGTATCCTGTATGTTTTACAGTTAGAAATTCAAGCCATCTCCTCATGGTTCTGACTTTTGTTTGCTTGTGTCTGTTGACCAAGACATAAGCCCCTGAGGGCAGGCATGGTGCTGTGGAAAGAGTTCAGGACTGAGTGTGGAGACCTGGATTGGTCTCGTCCTGCTTTGGCGGCTCGGCTCACCTCCCCTCCGTGGGCCGTGGCTTCTGCGTGTGCAGTAGTTCTGCCAGGGCCGTCGGGGGCTGCTGTACAGGAATGTGTCCCGAGGACCCTGTAAGCTCAGCCTCGCTCCCCGCCTGCCAGGGCGTCTCTCCACACAGGTTCTCCCTCTTCCGTCCTCAGTCGGCTGTACCGGTGGATGCTCAGTTTGATGACGGTATCCGCCTGAATGAGTCATGCTGGGGTCCGAGTCCTGCGATCAGGAGTGAGCATTCACTGCCTCATGATCTGTGGTTCTTGGACACTCTCACACAAGGCACAGAGAATTATGGAGCAGAAGGGAGCCCAGGGTGAACTTTTGATTTTGTTTTTATGAACTGCAGAAAACAGGTGTTTATTTCCTGACTTTGAATGGGTTTAAAGTGGGCACTGGTCAATATTAGGAGTCATGGGCTTCAGAATTCAGAAACTTTGGCTGTGTGGAGTTGGGACCCCCCCAGTGAATACCTTGTTTCTGGATACTGAAGATTAGAAATGAAATATAGGACACAGGGGTTTTTAAAAAATTTTTTAATTTTTTTAAAGCTTCACCTCAGTGTAAAGTTCCTCCTACAACGTTAGTGGGAAAGCTGGTCTACACGGTCCTCTTTAACACAGTGAAGGAGGGAAGGGCTGGTGCTGGGAAGGTCCCATGGCTTACAGAGTTCTGCGTGTTCTCCGTGTAGTGAGAGGTAGAGGGAACAGCACACGGCTCCATTCGTATTGAGAGGTGGGTGAGCCTCAGAGAAACAGTGCACTGAGGCGTGGGCTGGTGGGGATCCAGGTCTTCTGCCTCCAGGCTGGACTGTCTTCTACAGTTTGCTCGGTGCTGTTGTGTGCAGGACCGCTGGGTCATTCTCCTTTGACGCTGGGGTTGGTACCACCCCTTCCTCCTGCTTTTAGAATCTTAACTATGTCGATTTTCCTGGTCCTGAATTAGATGGGCCATCAGTTGAAGTTGTACTTTGCTAAAGCTAGGAGAGCTACAGAGACATCAATAGGTTTTCTCTTCACCCTAAACCTTGTTGCTACTGTCCCACTAGGGTCCCTGTGAGTCACCGTGGCGGGGCTGATGGTCTGAAGCCACTCTCCTTGTCCTGCAGCAGCCACACTGTTGCCCCCATGCCTCAGAATGGCCCCAGAAGGCCCTACCTGCAGGTCCCCCAGCAGGCTGGACTTTCCACACACTCCAGGCAGGGTACCGCTTCTGCCCCGACACGGGCAGGAGCCTCCCTGCACTGCGTTGGGGATGTGGTGGGGAGGGTGGAGCGCTGAGTCCCTGGGCTCCCTGTCGTTGGCAGTGATCAGCGCAAGTGTGGTGTGTCGCCTTTTAGGTGGAAAATCGAATTTAGCAGCCAGTCTGTGTGTGTTGTTAAAGACTACCCCTTGCTGTGAATTTCACCATTAGAAGACAGGGCTTTCTGTAAATGATGCGGTCTTGGTGGTGGATAACCGTAAGCAAAGTGGCACCAGTAATTACGTGGTATTCCTGGCCATCGCCCTGGCCACAGCCTGGGAGCCTCCTGGGGGTATGGGGAGCAGAGTCCTTCAGTACGTGGTCCTCTTGGCCGCTGCAGCGGGCGGCCCTGTGACCAGGGCTTCCCAGCAGCTCAGCAGATGGCCTCTCAGGTTTTCTGTTGTGTGGGGTTTTTGGACAGATGTTATTTTCTTTTTTGTAGAGTAGCCTGTTTGTAAGTTTAACGTGTTTGTTTTTCTCCTTTGCAGCATCATGGCCAGCCCCAGAACCAGGAAGGTTCTTAAAGAAGTCAGGGTGCAGGATGAGAACAACGTAAGCCTCTGCCTCCCACCCCGCCCCAAGCCTTGGTCAGGGTCAGCGAGTCTCGGGAAGTTGTGCTCTGAGCCCGTGGTTCTGAGACCCTCCTGGAGTCGATGGTGGTTGGCATCCTCTGGACGTGTGTGACTCGTGCTGGCTGGTGGCCTGGGTGGCCGGCTCTTAGAGTGGTGCCATTTCTGGCGCTCATCAGTGCTGGCTGTTGGGGGTGGGGGCTCCTCCACATTCCTCAGGCCACATCGCTCTAAGGACAGGTCCGCCTCATCTTCCCATCTGAACATTTTATTACATGGGAGGCTCTTTCCCCTCACGCCCTGCCCTGACCCACGCCCCCTGCCACCCTGGGCAGCCCTCTGCATTTGCTTCTTGAGGCCACCTGTCGGATCTTTGGGGTCCCTGGGCTTTGCCCTGAGCCACCTGGTGAGTCACTTGTGGCCCCTTTGCAGGTTTGTTTTGAGTGTGGCGCATTCAATCCTCAGTGGGTCAGTGTGACCTATGGCATCTGGATCTGCCTGGAATGTTCGGGGAGACACCGTGGGCTTGGGGTGCACCTCAGGTCAGTGTCCTACCACTCCGGCTCTGCGGAGAGCCTGCGGCCATCCCAGCGTCTGTTTCTGACACTGGAGGTGCTGACGCCGGGGAAGCTTGGAGGCCGTCTCCCATTGAGTTGCCAGTGTCCACTCCAGTGACGCCATGGCACAGGGTTCCAGCTGCTGGCCACTCGGCCTCCCTGCGGCTGCTGCTTGCTGTGTCTAATCCTCAGGACGATGCTGGGTGGAGGGTGTCCCTGGGTGTCCCCGGTGCTGGTTGATTTGCTCAATCCTCTGGTTTCCAGCTTTGTGCGCTCTGTTACTATGGACAAGTGGAAGGACATTGAGCTTGAGAAGATGAAAGCTGGCGGGAATGCTAAGTTCCGAGAGTTCCTGGAGTCTCAGGAGGACTATGATCCCGGCTGGTCCTTGCAGGAGAAGTACAACAGCAGAGCCGCGGCCCTCTTTAGGGATAAGGTAGAGATGGGCCCGACTCACTCTTGCCCTTGGTGCGGGGCTGCTCTGCCTTTAGTGGTTCTGGAGTTGGTTCTTTTGCTGGTTCTGACACACCCACTGGGCCACACATAGTCCGGGACAGAAAGGAATGTCGTGGTCCTTGCTGCCCCGCCCAGAGGGGAGGCAAATGGCTTGTGGGAGAGATGGACCTTCCCCACCTCCAGGGGAGAAAGTAGCTGTGACCGTTTACTGCCTCTGTGACGTGTTGGGCACAGTGTTTCTAAGAAGTTTGGAGGCCAAATGGGTGGGTCCCCCTGCGTTTGAAGTTGGAGCTGCACCAACTAGGAGCTCCCCAGCTCCGTTGTTCATGTAAAGGGAGCCCTGGCCTCGTCCACGCCTGGTCTGTGCACCTGAGCAGGGGCCGTCGAGGGGGGCCAGGAGGGGGCTGCGGGTGTGGGTGCTCCAGGTGGGCCGAGGGGGCTGCTCTAGAGTCAGCGGTGCCCAAGAGTGTCACCAGGCACCTTTATGCTCTCTGATGCCCCGTGTCTCCTTGTCAGGTGGCCGCTCTGGCCGAAGGTAGAGAGTGGTCTCTGGAGTCATCACCTGCCCAGAACTGGACCCCACCTCAGCCCAGGACCCTGCCGTTCACGGCACACCGGTAGCTGCTCCTCATGGGGCCTCAGTGCAGTTTCCACTGGGCCCTGATCTTAGTCGACTGGGTTACCCCACAGAATTCCCTTCTTTGCTGTTGTGACAGCTCTTTTCCCAGAAGTCAGTGGGAAAAACAGATTTTTTAAATTGCCAAAACAATTCAAGCTTTTCGTAAATTTCAACCCATAAAGCTGTCTCAAAGAGTGCCCCAGGTAAGCTCTGCACGCCTTCCAGATGTGCACACAGCCGTGTGCGCCGCGGCGCTGTGGGAATTCACGTCTGCACACAGCCGCGTGCGCCGTGGAGCTGTGGGATTCACGTTTGCACACAGCCGTGTGCGCCGTGGCGCTGTGGGATTCACGACTCCGTCTGCCCACAGAGGTGCTGTCTCCCCTTCCCCAGAGTTGCCCATCTACCTGTGGCACTGGCCCTGCCACCCTTGAACTGACCCCTGTCATGGATGCATCCCACGTCCCACTGCAGGGAACGTCCCCGGTGAGGTGACTGGGTAGCACGAGGCCTCCCCACCTCACCCGGAGCCCCAGAGCCCCGCCAGCCAGGTGTTTCTGGCAGAAGGCTTTGCACTTCGGGCAACTCCAGCTTGATTCCAGGCCCTCGGTCCTCTTGCCCCACCTCTTGCCTCTGCCTCCTGCTGACGGGGAGAGTGCAGAGCCCACTGCGGAGGCCTCTCGTGTTGCCCATGAGGCTGGCATTGCTGGGTTTCAGCACCCGAGCCTGAACATCCGCCCAGAGCTGAAGGCCACCCTGGCCTCAGGTGCTCTTGGGTGACGTGAAGGCGCTGCCCACGTAGGCCACATGGTTCTGGGGGTGCTGCTGGGGTTCCCTCAGACTTCACCCAGTTTTGACCTCACCAGCCTTTGATTCTTGGTTTCAGAGCTTCTGGCCAGCCGCAGAGTGTGACCGCCTCCTCGGACAAGGCTTTCGAAGACTGGCTGAATGATGACCTTGGCTCCTATCAAGGGTAAGGACTTGAGAGCTGGGGATGCCTGGGGAAGGCCAGACCCACGGGGTTCAGTCTGCTGGGTAGGGCTGCTTCCCTCGGGGCCTCCCGTGTGCAGTGGGTGTGGGACCCGTACGTGCCGGTGCAGGGTCTGACTGCAGTGAGCCCCGGCTGCCCACCCGGGTGTGGATTGGGGGTCTTGGGTGTAGAGAAGAGCTAACACTTAGAAGAAAAGCATAACACATTTTCTGCTTGGAATTTGCTGGACCTATACGTGAATTTTTAATCCCCAAAGCTGTCATTATTAAGTTGTTTTGATCCTTCTTCCAGTACTTTTGTGACTGGGTTTGGGGACTTGCCAGGGACCCTCTCTGGTGATGTGGCAGGAGGGTCTTTTTAAATGAGCAGGAAGCACGTCTGTCTGCTGCTGGGGAGCTGCCAAGGCTCCTGCTGCTACGGGAGGCAGCGTGCACGTCCTGTGCGTGGGGACGCTGGCACATCCCTCAGAGCCTCAGCCTCACCTCTGTTCAGGGCCCCATACCTTCAGGAGGAGCAGGGTTCACGCCGGCATCTTCAGCCTCTTGTCCGCTTTGTTTTCAGAGCCCAGGGGAATCGCTATGTGGGGTTTGGGAACACGCCACCGCCTCAGAAGAAAGAAGATGACTTCCTCAACAACGCCATGTCCTCCCTGTACTCGGTGAGGACTTGTGGGCCCTGCAGAGCATCTCCCATGGGCAGACCCGGACTGAGGGCACGCCGGGCCGTCGGGGGCAGTGTGGCAGTCCTGGAACACGTGCTCTTTGCCTTGCTGTGATCTAAGGACCCCTCCCTTACCTTCAGTGACGTTTTCTTGCAAAAATGTGGCTTAAATTTTTCAGATCCCAAATTCAGTTACTTCTTTTTTTTTAAAAGACGGAGTCTTGCTTTGTCGCCCAGGCTGCAGACTGGAGTGCGGTGGCGCAATCTGGTTCACTGCAACCTCGGCCTCCCGGGTTCAAGTGATTCTCCTGCCTCAGCCTCCTGAGTAGCTGGGATTATAGGCACCCACTATCACGTCCAGCTAATTTTTGTATTTTTAGTAAAGATGGGGTTTCACCAGGTTGGCCAGGTTGGTTTCAAATTCCTGACTTCTGATGATCTGTCCACCTCAGCCTCCCAAGGTGCTGGGATGACAGGAGTGAGCCACCGCACCCAACCAACACTTACTTACTTCTGACACAAAATGTGTGTATTTCAAATCTAACAGCGGATGTTCTTCCAAGGAACCCAAGGGCTCTGACGGCAGCCACTTGGCCGTGTTCTCTGCAGAGGGAGTGCTGTGTGCAGTGGGAAGCTGGCTCTGTGCTTGGGGGTCTGGCCGTGCTGGGAAGCCGCTCGGGCGCTACCCAAGGTCACTCAGGGCCACCTCTGATCTGGGGGTGCCTGGAAGCTCCAGGTCAGATGTTCAGAGTAGGACACCCTGGGCTTGTTGCCATTTTCCTATTAACGGAAATACATGTTGTTTGATTTTCATTTTCCAAGGAAATTTTTACCGTCTTTAAAAAATGATTCTTGCAGGTGTGATGGCTCACGCCTGTAATCCCAGTACTTTGGGAGGTGGAGGTGGGCGGATCACCTGAGGTCAGGAGTTCGAGACCAGCCTGGCCAACATGGCGAAACCCCGTCTCTACTAAAAAATATAAAAATTAGCCAGGCAGGGTGGTATGTGCCTTGTAGCCCCAGCTACTAAGGAAGCTGAGGCAGGAGAATTGCTTGAACCCGGCAGGCAGAGGTTGCAGTGAGCCTAGATAGCACCATTGCACTCCAGCCTGGGCGACAGAGTACGACTCCGTGTCAAAAAAAAAGGAAGATTTTTATTCATCGCAGCATTATTGTCTGTGACACTAGCAACCTGAGACTCTGGCCACAGGGGCCGCGTGAATGGGAGCTTGTGCTGAGAGCCAAGGAAGGACTTGTTTATTTATTTATTTATTTATTTTGAGACGGGTCTTGCTCTTTTGCAAGGGCTGGAGTGCAGTGGCATATTTATAGCTCACTGCAGCCTCGAACCCTGGGTTCAAGCGATCCTCCCACCTGGGCCTCTTGAGTTGCTTAGCTTCCCAAAGTTCCAGTATTACAGGAATGCGCCACCATGCCTGGCCAGAAAGGATTTTTTAATACTAACATGACAAGATCTTCAAAGTATGTTAGCTAAAAATGAGCAGGTTTAAAACGGATGGCTTCATCTGCAAGGAGCCCTGCCATAGAGTCTTGGGAGTCCCCAAGTGTGTGTGGCTTCCAGTTGCTCGGGGTGGCCTGGCTGCACCTTGGGCCACTGACGGCCATGGTTGCTTTCTCTTGCAGTCATTGCTGCATCGTTAGGAAAGAAAAGTGCATTTTCCAGCCTGTGTGTGGCCGTTTTGCTGCCTTTTGCTGGGCATCTGCTTTCTGGGGAAGGCAGTTCAGCTTAGTGATCTCTCAAGTGAGGGTCCCTTTGTGTTTCCTTTAGGAGGAAGAGGATGAGTTGTGATTGAAATGAGACATTTATTTTTCTAAATAGCTTTAATTATCTCGGGAGACTCAGGAGGAAACCCTGAGCATAGATGAAGGAGAGCAGGTTACGGCGGTCGTGACCCCACACGCCTCACCTCTTTCTGTTCCTCTGGGGAGGCAGGCGGAAGCGCCAGCCATGGGGAGGAGAGCAGGTTAGAGCAGGTTACAGCGGTTGTGACCCCACATGCCTCACCTCTGCCTGTTCCTCTAGGGAGGCAGGAGGGAGCACTGGCCCTGGGGAGGGGTCCTGCCCTGCAGTGTGGGCTTGCTTCTTGAGGGTGGTGGGATCCACAGGAGGCTGGATTGCACCGTGTTGGGAGCACTGCAGTTGGCGAGGTTGGGGTAGAGGGCGCGTGTCTGTTGTGCCCTGGGTCCAGTTGTACTCCTCCAGCAGCCTGGCGAAGCAGGCGCTGTGGGGTCAGGACGGGGCGGGGGCCTGGTCCTCATCCTTGCTGAGATGCTCTGCTCAGCACCGGGTTCCTGGGTCCCAGTCCTGATGCAGCTGCTCTTTGTCGCCTTCCTCAGGGCTGGAGCAGCTTCACCACTGGAGCCAGCCGGTTTGCCTCAGCAGCCAAGGAGGGCGTAAGTCACTGTCCCCACCAGGCCCTCAGGACACCGGCCGCTTGCTGGTCTGTGGGGGCCGCTGCCTCTCAGAGCGTAGGAGGGGGCTGTTCCCGCCACATTGCTCCCCTCCTCATGCCAGGGTGGCTGCCTCATGTACCCGCTCAGGGCCTGCGGGGCCAAACTCGTTTGCTGTTCACTGGTAACTGGTGCAGGTGTGCAGCCATTGCGCTGGCCACCTCGTTCTGGGAGCTGCAGAAGGGATGTGGGACACAGAGGGTTTCTGGGTGCTCCAACCATGGGCTGTGCCAACGCAGTACCAGCCAGGGTGGTCCCAAGGCCTTGGAGGTTCTGCAGGAACACAGCAGCCCAGGCTGTCAGGAGCCGCTCCTGTGTCAGACCAGCTGCTGGCAAAGGGGTCCCGCCCTGATGAAAGTGAGGGAGATGTGAGCCCCATTGATTCCTAGACTCCACCCTAACCAAGCAGGGCAGGTCTCGGGCGCCCTGTGCCCTAGAGCTTCTGGGGCTCAAGTCATGTTTTGGTAGCGTTTTCTCTCTTTTGCCGCTCCTCAGCCTGAAATGGGGTGATTTGGGGCTTTCGTCAGGGCAGACAGTGGAGCATTAGGCAGAGACCCAAGAGCAGGCCTGGCATCAGGATGGGGCGTGGGCCCCCGGGGGCTGGGCTGTGGTGTGAAAGGAGAAGGGGAAGCCCAGAGCAGGGCAGCTGGGTGCCTGCAGCTGCCCAGACAAGCAGCCAAGGCACCCAGTTTAGGGCTCTTATGAGCGGAAGTCACGGTGCGCGCCTGTCAGATGTCCCCATGGTCACCCTGGCCCCGTGGCTTCCCCAGTCACAGTGCGCACCTGTCAGAGGTCCCCGTGGTCACTCTGGCCCCATGTCTTCCTTGGGAGAGGCAGGCCTGGGAGCGCCCTGGAAGGGGCAGCAGGCCAGGTGTCCAGCCTCCAGCTCTCATGGCCCCGTGACTTTGCCAAGTGTGAGGTTCTGGTTCCCGCCAGGGCCTCCGTTTTCCGTCACCACGGGAGGGCTGCGGCCTGGGGAGGCCCAGGTACCTTCCAGCCAGTGTCACGGCCAGGCCTTTTCTCCTCCCCCAGAGCGTAAAAGTGACCGAGGTGGCTGGACTGTGCTTGGCATGGAGCTGCCCCCGCAGCGGGGTAGATGAGCCTGGGGCAGTGGCGCCACCCATTGAAGACAGTGCTAGTGTGGCTTCCCCAGCCTGTCCTCTGCTCCAGCAGGTCCCCGCCCTGTCCTGAAGTCTGGAGGATGGGGTTGGCCCTGCTGTTCCCTGGCCTCGCACACTGCTCACACGTGCCCTCGCCCCAGTAGCTTGCTGGGCTGGCCTCCCTCCAGGGAGAAGCCAGCATTTGTGCCAATCCAGGCCCCACTGCAGCTCTTCTGGGCATCTCAGAGTTATAGTGCCCCCCACCTGAGAGCTGCTGGCAGCCCAGGGGCCATTGGGAGACAGTCCTGGACCTGAGTCTGTGGGCCCTGAGGAAGGAGGCCTGGCAGTCCGTGTTAAAGACCGTCAAGCCTTGTCTGTTTTTCATTGTAGGCTACAAAGTTTGGATCCCAAGCAAGTCAGAAGGTAACAGAGGAGAAGCTTCTGAACCCTGGTGCTTCTAAAACTATCCTGAGTCTCTGACGTCACGTGCAGTGCCTGAAGCTGCCTGGTTCCCTCTTCTCAGGCCACGAGCTCAGAGTGCAGGAGGGGCTGTGCCCACTGTGTTGCTCCCTCCTCATGCCGGAGTGGCTGCCTCACGTACCTGCTCAGGGCCTGCCGTGCCAAACTCGTTTCCTGTTCACTGGTAGCTGGTGCAGGTGTGCAGCCACTGCGCTGGCCACCTCGTTGGGAGCAGGACTGCGTGGCTTGGCAGATGACCCACACTCGCGGTGGCCGCTCAGCCGGAAGGGCTGTCGCGGGTGGTGCTGTGCCTGCAGCACGTAGGATGTGTCTGCATACTGAGGCAACGGAGGGTCCCTTTGCCCTGGCCAGGGCATCCCCCAGTTGTAGGCAGTGTGGCCTCAGGCCTTTGCATGTTTTTTTTTCTTTTTTTTTTTTTTTGAGACAGACTCTCGCTCTGTCACCCAGGCTGGAGTGCAGTGACCGGATCTCGGCTCACTGCAAGCTCTGCCTCCCGGGTTCACGCCATTCTCCTGCCTCAGCCTCTCAAGTAGCTGGGACTACAGGCGCCCGCCACCTCGCCTGGCTAGTTTTTTGTATTTTTTAGTAGAGACGGGGTTTCACTGTGTTAGCCAGGATGGTCTCGATCTCCTGACCTCGTGATCCG